ATGCAATTATTTTTTATCTCTCTCTCTCTCTATGTTTAAGAATATTTGTAATTTCTTAAAAATATATATAAATATAAATAATAAAGTATATATATATTTTAATAAACCTTAGACTCTCCTGAGCAGCAAAAAAAAAATCAGAGTTCATTGGGGGTGCAGCATGTTTACCTGGTAGAAGGCACAAATCCTTTTTTTTTTAAGAAACAGTTACCATCCAGAATAGAAGGAGAATAGCCATATTCACAGCACCGCTCACTAGTGGCCAAATTTGCTGACCATATGAATCAATGTAGTGTTGCTGCGACAGACTGCCCCTGGTGTGAAATCCTATGTTGTTGCTGCGACAGACTACCCACAGGGAAGGGACGTCTGAGTCCATCTTGGACTCTGGTTTGGTGTTGGTAAGGTCAGGTCATCCAACAAAGGTCAGGTGGCTTGACACAGGGAACGGGCGTCTGAGTCCATCTTGAACTCTGGCTTGGTGCTGGTGAGGTCAAGTCAGTCTCCATGGGTCAGATGGCTTGACCACAGGGATCTCGGTTTCTATCTTGGTGCTGTCAAGGTTAAAGGCGGCTTCAGGCTCCATCTCTACACTTCACAATCACTAGAGGTTTGTAGCTTAGATGGGGAAAATTGAAACATTGTTATGTTTGGTTGGGTTCTGGGTGAATCATGGCATAGTCACGAGGTGTCCTAACAATTTGAAAGATGAACCTTTTCTTTACAAAGAAAAATATCTATTTTGCACTTATATAAATGTACAAGCATAAAAATTAATTAATCAAAGCTCTTCTAAATGCGCTAAAACATCTCTCTAACACATCTTGTCGTAGAGCAAAAACGTCCTTCAGAGAGAGAGATTGAAATTGAAACTGATTTATTACAATGTCCATATATGATTATATAAGGTTAAATACAGAATAAATATAAATATGAATAAATACGATTATATAATAATAAATATATCCATTAATATATATAAATATAAAAACAATTTATAAATATACATATATATAAAATATATACAGTCTTCATTGGCGGCGCCCACCGCGGTAGAGACTCCGCCACCAGTGGACTGCGAGAGTTCTTTCCCACAGAGTGGGCAGGTCGATGAAGTAGCTGGCATTACCCACCCCACCTCAAGACCAAGATGGTACTTGTAGATGGTAGCCTTCGCTACGCTGGTTAACTTCATTGCCTCGGGATGGAGGCTGAAGCCAAACAGCCAGGCCTGCAGATCCAGGGTCCAGGGGCATTTCGCAGGAGGCGAACACCTCCCGGAGCAGGGTTCGCACGGCTCGGCAACTCCAATATCTGTGGGTCAGCGACCCCCCCCCCCCCCCCCCCCCCCCCCCCCCCCCCCCCCCCCCCCGACAGTCGCTTGTAGCCAGCACTCGGGAGCCAGCAGGACTGAGCGTCGTCCCTGATGAAGAGTACGATGTCGTCCGCATAGGCGACGACGTTGCCGCGGCCCAAAGTCCTCTCGAGGCAGCGTAGCAGAGGTCCAACTCCGATACTGAAGAGCGCGGCGCTGGACGGCAACCCTGCCTCACCCTTTGAGAAGCGGGAAGGCCTTGGTGTATACATCCCTGACCCGGATGGAGGCGTCTGCTTCCTCATAGAAGACAGCAATCCACCCTAGGAAGGTAGACGGTAGGCCCAGCTTCTCCAGCAGGGCGAACAAGTAGCTCCTGCTCAGGGTGTCGACGGCCGACTTCAGGTCCAAAGAGATGACAGCCAGCGGCGTGTCATGCCTAGATGCCCCAGCGGTTTCGTCAGACACTCGCGCGATATTCCAGGAAGATGACCGTCCTGGAACGGCGTAGGTCTGACAGTCGGGCACCAGGTCTGGCAGATGACGTCGCAGACGGGCTATAAGCACGCCGCTGAGGACCCTGTAGTCGGTCGTTGGCAGGCTAATTGGCCTGAATGTCTGTAGACCCAGACCACCGTGCACCTTCTTCGGCAGAAGGATGACCTTGCTGCGCCTTGAGAGAGAGAGAGATGTCCTTTTATATATACCAGAGAACAGTAAATTGTTTGAATAATCATTTTGGCAGGGAAAACTGTCCTTTTAATACACTTGTCTGCTAGAAGGATTGACCGCTTATTGAGGTTCAACAGTATTGCTTGTTTTATTTTTTATTTAGGAACCCAGATCACCATTTAATTTCTAGACATAATATTTAAGATATACGCAACAGCAATGCTTTATCATTTTGTGGATGCCGCATTCAAGATTCTACTCACCTTTTACTTAAGTGCCCAGCATTTCAAGACTACAGACCCAAGAGAACTGATATCCAGCAGGGATTCATACATTGTATTCAATAGTTTTTGTAAATATATATCAAAGTTTTTAAATAATCTCATGTGTTAGGTATAATTAACTATGTGCTGTATATATGATTTTTTTTCCTTTTTTCTCTATTTTGAGATGTGTTTAAATTAAATTACCTATGTATATAGCATGCTTGTTTGAAATCAATTTCAGGAATATGGTAAATGCCTTGAGCATATGTTAATAGATTCTCCCTCTCCCTCTCTCTTGTGTTGCTTTCTTTTGGGCGCCAGTGTCCTTGGCGGGACATCGCGCTTTGTATTTACAGTTGAATAAAGTTGAATATACCTGTTATGTTGGAAAAAGAGGCGAAAAGTATAAATTAAAAACATACAAGACTTATAGAGGTGATTTAGATTGCTGGAATACATAATTCTAAATACCTGGCTTGTCCAGTTGACAATAGTTTTATCAACTGGTTATCAACTACATTTATTTGCCCATTAGTTGACGTTCTGTGCTCCAGAAACTTGGGTTATATCTATAGACAGATCTTTCTCTTTCAATTAAATTATTTAAATTGTCAAATTATCAATTAATATCCTTTCTTAAAAATGTTAAAAATATTTCATTTATAATACGTATTTAAATAATATTATATTATTTTTTAATCAAAATAAAAGTTCATTTCATATATAAATTTTTTAAACAATTTTTTTAACAAATTACTTGATGCTGAAATACATTCAGAAATAAATTCATAACAAAAACCATGAACATTTTAGTAAAAAATAAAAAAATCTATTTAATATTTTTTCTAATTTTACATTCAAACATATATTCCTTTTTTTAATATAAAAACTCATTATTATTTGTCTTAATGTTTCTTCTATGATCACTTTGAAAAATAAAATTTAGGATTACTTTGTGTCTTGATAGTGTTTATTATTATATCAGTTCCCAAAGATGGCAGCCCTGTGTAAACAACGTGCTTTATCCTATATCTTCAATGTATTAAAGAAAAAGGTAAAATATAAATACTTTTTTTTTTTTTTTTCATCCATACGTTCGTTAATAACCACATTTTTCTTATTGTTCAATTTTTTTTTGGTTTATGTAATTTTATTCTTCAGATAAAAAAAAAAAGGAATTTAACTATTTTTTATTCAAACCGAAATTGATTTAACTATTAAAATTCTAATACCGCTACTCTATAACCAATATCCAAATAATCTAGAAATATAAATATTAAAAATAAAATTTTAAGCATATCTTTGTGAATAATATATTTAATACGAATTTATTTTTTATTTTATTATCTACAAGAAAAGTAAAGCACATAACCGTATTTTAACCTTTTTTTTTGTGTATGCATATATGGAAGATTTAAATTTTGTTGAGCATAGAGTACAGTGACCTAAGGTCATGTGGCAAGATTTGAAACTGAAGCCTTTTAAATAAAGACTATTTGCAATTTGTGTTTTTATCTTTATATAAATTTTTATTTAACCAAACAATATCTTAAAAGAATAAACAATATTAATGAAATAATTTTACATCCAAAAGATTATGCAATAGGATTCATTAAAGGTTTAGCAATCAAGTAGCCAGTAAATTGTGATCTTTGCCATTATGTTGGCAGTCTTTATATCTTTTGCATTCGTTATCATATGATATAGTTTGGTATAAACACATGGTGTAAATACACAGTTTTATTAATATTTTTATATATATGATTTAATACAGTAGAACCTCCCTGTAAAGGACATCTAATTGCAGAGCTAAAGTGTCTTTAAGGGAGAGAGGTCTCCTTTTACTGGAGAGTTGTTAAATAGTAAAAATGAAATATAGACTCATATTATAGACAGATATTATAGACTCATATGATTCTTTTAAAAATTAAACAATTTATACTGTCCTTACTGCAATGAAAAACAGATGGCGCGCTTCTTCTTTCTTATCTCCACCCAAATCACACTAAGGTATCAAGCTTGTAAAGCTTGAGACTTTTGATGATGTCTGCTGGGGAAGAGTAGAGCTCATCAATGAATGAGTCAATACAGTCAATATGTCTTGGGGTTGCAGGCTGAGAATTGTACTTAGTACATAGTGGGAAAACTTTGCAGCCATTCTGGAAAGTCATTGTCCGTAGATGACCAGACTTGGGTCTGGAAATCAAAGACTGTTGATGAGATGGCACGCTAATGCATCATAATATAAATAGTAAAAATTCGCAAATGAAAACTGTCCTTGTAGAGAGGTGTCCTCTAGTGTGAGTATCCTTTACAGGGAGGTTCTACTGTATATATATGTTTTGATGCTCTAAATTTTCTGAAATATGGTATCTACAAAAATGGTGGTGATAGTGTATGATCATATATCTACCATTCACAATATGTGGCCAAATATCTCATCTCCCCGACAATTTCTATTACTTTGAAACTAAAGCCTTAACCTTCCAGCAAGTCCTTTTAAGATTAGATTTTTTCCTTTTCACATCACAATTTATTTAACTTTATTAACATCCTATAACGCGATATCCCAAACTCAGGGATATTTGAGTCAATATATTTCTTTACATCATAACAAATTGGCTATATACAAGCTTATACAATTATTTTACATAATTTTTGGGAGACTCGGAGACATTTGGCCCAATCTAATCTGATAATTGGCCTCTCATTGGTCGTGACGTCAGTGTGACGCGCGATGGGCTGCAAGGGATGTAGCTCAGATGGTAGAGCGCTCGCTTAGCATGCGAGAGGTACTGGGATCAATACCCAATCTCCATCTTTTTATGAGATAAGAAAGAAGATCCAAAGAAAATTGGTCAAGTAGAAAAAAAAGACAAACATAGCGCAATAGTGTCTATATAGCTCAATATAACCTAGCACATATTGATATAATGGGTGCCACCATTGGTCCAGAGAAATCTCACCAAATTTATCTATGAAAGAATCCTGCTTTCCTTAATTCCATATTAATTATCTCAAATATCATAGAAATATATGTATTTATTACACCAATGTGTAGTATTTGCTATTCAAATATATATGTAGTGTGCATAACATGGTTTAGTAACATTGGAATACACTGTAAAACAACAAGGTAATAAGACCAAATCCAAATAAATAAATAGTGCGTGATGTTTCGGCAACAACATTGTTACCATCTTCAGACAAAAGTACAGAATGGCAATCATTTTGTCTGAAGATGGTAACAATGCTGTTACAGAAACATCACACACTATTTATTTGGATTTGTTTCCTTGTGTATATAATCTATAATCCAAATTGTACCTTATCATTACACTGTATAACATTGTACACTAAAGAAATTTGAAACTAGGAGAATTAAACTTTGTCTTGCCTGCTTTGTGATGGGAAATATTTTGTGAGGGATGACTCATCAGTGTGGGAACCCTCTCAGCTGTTTTGGCACTTTAATATTCCAGACCACTCTA